TTGTGTATCGTGTGTATAATTTAGTAAGACTAATAAGACACAGGTAGTAGTACGTATAGTACTACTCTACGTAGGTTTGTTAGTAGTTTACTTATATATATATATATATATATATATATGGAAAAATATGGGATTAGCCTACTAGCTCATATGAATATGAGTCCAATGGCCCATATTGAATCTGGGCCGATTTGACGATCACAGATGTCCGGTAGTGTTAAAATTCATTACTCGGTCATGATCCAGTAGTGTTTCATTTTTTATTTTTTTTCTATAAATCAAAATGACCTGAAATTTGGAGAGTTTATTCATCAAAAATAGGGGAATCTTTGAAAATATTAAAAAAAAATATTTTACATGAAAAAATTGACCAAAATACCCTAAAAAAGGTTCAAGGATATTTTAGTCAATTTATTTTTACAGATAATTTTTTTTATATTTTTATTAGATGTGCCTCCGTAATATGTACATACCCTCTATATTTCAGGTTATTCTGATTCTTAAAAAAAAATTAAAAATAAAATACTACCAGACAATTGTGACCGCACGATGAAATTTAGACGGTGATGAGGGTAGGCGAAATCACTATTCATTTTCGCTTATAGGTGTTGGAAAGACTTTTCCTATATATATATATTTATTTATTTATTTATTTATGAAAAAATTACATACATATCTGTTATACTTTACGTTATTACGAATGTACCAAATAGTTTCCGTTATTACATATCTTTCCGATTTTACCTTTTATAACTCATTTTTTTAAAAAAGATGACTTTACCCTTTTTCGGGTGTTGAACAACCGAATTAAAGGATTTGTCGGATGTTCAACATCCGAAAATAGCCGTGACTGCCAAATTCTCAAAGATCTCTGGAATTTCGCAGTTATATTTTCGGATGTTGAACATCTGAAAATGGTTTTCGATGTTAGATCTCTGAAAATGTCACATTTTCGACATTTTCGGATGTCGGCAATGCAACCTTTATGAAATGTGACTTATATTGTGAATCATGCTGATAGATCTCTATGGTATTAAATTATGCTTCTGTAATTATGTTCTTATTAAATTCGTTTTCCCCCAACTTTATAAAAAGAAGAGAAAAAACATTCCGCTAATAAGCAGGAAATTTTAACATGAAAATTATTGGTTAATCAAAAACCTAAAATCAAGAAATTTCGAATGTTCAACATCCAAATTCAATGTATCTTCATTTGTCTTCATTTGTTCAACAACCGAAAATACATTGAATTTGGATGTTGAGCATTCGAAAAACCCTTCAATTCGGTTGTTCAACACCTGAAAAAGGGTAAAGTCATATTTTTTTTAAATTTACGTTATGAAAAGTAAAAACGGACAGACATTTAATAACGAAAACTATTCGGTACATCCGTAATAACGTAAAATATAACGGATATATATGTAATTTTCCCTATATTTATTGTTGATATTGATTTACTTGAGGAGGCTCTTTTTAAACTATTATACTCAATATCTTTGCCGTACCTTTAAATTGCATCATTCATTTCATTGGTTCTTGTGTGTATAATGCTGATAATACCTGTTTACTAATGATCATCAATGAAAAATCATTTCGGTTGGCACCTTCCCGTTTTCTTATTTGGGCATTCCGATTTCTGACTGCAGGCTACCTATCTCGATTTGGGACAATGTATTACAACGTGTGCAGGTTAAGTTGGACTTATGGAAGTCCAAATATCTCTCTTTGGGGGGTAGGGTAACTTTGCCACTCTCTTGCTTAGTGAATTTACTGATCTATCTCATGTCGCTTCTTCTTATGCCTGCCTCTGTAATTAAAAAAATTGAGAGGATGATGTGTAATTTTCTTTGGGGCTCCTTTGGAGTACAAAGGAAATATCATTTATTGAGATGTGACTGGGTTTGTACCCCAAGATGTGAAGGTGGTTTGGGCCTTCGCAAGCTGAAATTTATGAATGACGCTTTGCTTTCTAAGTGGTGGTGGCGAAATTTCCATTGCACATATCAGCTTAGCTGTCAGGTTTTAATTTCAAAATACGGGAGAGATCGGCATGGTTTATGGCTACGTGTTGATCGCTTTAGTGACTTCTCGTTTCTGTGGAAGCCCATCTCTAGATGTTGTCCTATGATAGCGACACATTTTCGGTGGTTGGTGGGGAATGGTGACTCCATTTCCTTTTGGCATCATAAGTGGATGGGTGATACCCCTCTGCAACTTACTTTTCCAGATCTTTTTGTTAAGATTCTTCTCCCGGACGCCAAGATAGAAGATTTAGTGGATTTCAATGGTTCACATCTTGTTTGGAATATCTCTCTTTCTTACGATGGACTTTCTGGTGACACTTATCTTCAGTGGATAGAACAATTGAGGCTATGGGATTCAATTTATATTTCCTAGGGGTTGTCAAATGAACTTATTTGAGAATTTGAGAATGATGGCATCTTCTTGGTCAAGTCCTGTTACAGGTTCTTTTCCACGACAGATGGAGATAGTCATTACCTCTTGTGGCTAAGATCCGAAAATGGCTTGTTCCCCATAAGATGCAAGCTTTTCTATGGTTAGCAGCTCTTAACATGATATTAACTATGACAACTTGGTTAAGAGGGGTAAAGTGCTACCCAATATCTGTTTGATGTGCAAAGAAGAAGAGGAAATTGGAAATCACCTTTTCATTCACGGTAAGATTGCTTGTTTTATTTGGTATTGGTTTTTCGATCTTCTTGGGGTTCAGACTTCTATTCCTTTTTCGATGGCAGATTTAGTGTCACATCTATCTTTTGGGCATTTACATTCGGCGAGGGGGCGGGGGGGGGTGGGTCTTGATTTGGCAAATTGGAAGAGGGGCAGTGATTTGGGAGATGTGTAAGGAAAGGAATAGGCACACTTTTGAGGGAGTGTGTATTTGGGCAAATAGTTGTCTTGATAATGTTAAGCTCTCTATTTGGCATTGGTTTTCGATCACTAAAGATAGCTGGGGCATCTCTCAACAGATGTCTTGTTTAATCTACAAAACTTATTTATCTTAGGGAAAGTTAAGATGTGACCTAAATCCTTCTGGATTCCTCCGGAGGCTCGTCGTTTTAAATTGAATTTTGATGGCAGTTCCTTAAGTAATCCTGGCTTTGCAGAAATTGGGAGTGTATTGCGTAATGATCAAGGACATCTTATCTTTTCTTATGCTAGTCTATTAAGCTCTGCTACGGCCAATCATATAGAACTTATCTCATTGCTGCAAGGTGTTAAGCTCTTTATCTCCAAAGACATCGGTAATAGTTGTATTTGTGAAGGTGATTCACTTAATGTTGTTCGCTGGTGTACGAAGGAATTGTGCATTCCCTAGAAGTTCAGGTCTATCTGGTTGGAGATTATAGACATTTCAGCCCCCTTAGCTATCTCTTTCTCTCAAGTTTATAGGAGGCTAATGCTTTAGCTGATTATCTAGCCAAAGGTGGGATTACCCTACCTTCTCTTTCGTTTTCCTCTTATGTAATCGCTTTTAAGTAGTTTCTCATTAATAAAAGTTGGAACCTTTGTCAAAAAAAAAATCATTTATTATCAATGAATTTTTATTACCAATTATGAGAATAATATATGTAAATTAGTAATCATCATCCTAATAATGATGATAATATTAATTGTTAATGGCCCTACAATTAATACTAGGATTAAAATTAAAAAATGCAACGTTATTCTAAGTGTACAAAATAATATCTATTTACCAATGTTATCTTATCTTTAATAAAAAAATTCATTATGAAAAATAAAGGTTTTTCCTAACTTAAGGATATTGAAAATTTGAAAATTAACATAGTCCTAATTTAATTTTCGGAAAGCATGACATTCAAATTTGTACATATTCTATTTGTAGTTTATTTTGTAATGTCAACATTTTGAGATCTCATAATGGGAAGCATAATATATGGTTTTTTACATGCTTTTAAAGTTTTTTTAATTATTACACTTATTTATATACCTCATTCTTCTAAAAAATACGTGCAGAGTATGTGTGTTTCGCTAGTAATGTTATGCATTAGTTCTACAATTTTTATATATATTTTCTTTCAATTCTTTAAGTGGCCCGAGTTGCATTCAAGGACAGGGCGCTCTCTGACAGGTCCTAACTCGGCCGAGGCCACTCGGATGCAGCAGAACTTTGAATCCAAAAATATCGATATGCAATTGGTAGCCAATTCAAGGTAGGACAGCATGAACGCCCTGCTTCAAGAAGAAATAAAATAGTGAGGCTGATTTCCCATTCAAAGATGGATCAATTAGATCATTTTTTATAGTCAATAAGTTCTCACTTTGAACGGTTCCTTTGGCAGTTTTTTGACACAGTAGCTATAATTCACGTATGTAATTTTGAAAATTAATTAATGGTTACAAAGTAACATCCAGAAAAAGAAAGCAATTCAGGCAATTTGCTTAAATGTCATCAGAGTTTTAAAAAATTGGATCCGAACCAGCTACCCACTGATTCCCAATTGTCCAGGTGAACCCAGTGACCTGGCCGACTTGGATTGGTTCAACCCATTTGGGCGAATTGAGCAGGTAAATTTCTTAATAAGATATAAATAATCTTTGAAAATCAAAATGAATTGATTTGTGAACAAAAAATTGACAAATATGTCATATAATTTGATAAAATTATCAGAGGACTGTAACTACCAGGAGATTCGTTCATATCTAGAACTTGTTCTTCCATTAAAGCCTCCCTTCTGCAAAGGCTGCAATGGTTACATTTACAGTAATGTAGAATGATGGCATGAGAATAAGGTCCAAAAGTTACCTCTCTGTATCATTATGCAACAGCCTTAATGGATTCAGGAACCACCTCAAGCTCATGAAAAGCAGTATGGTACGGGGAAAGGCCATCACTCCATAGGGGCAAGCAACCTATAATCCATCATATACAACATTACTTTAACTGGTGAAAAAAAAGAAAGTTAATAGCAAGAGAAAATTTAAAGAAAATTACAACTGGGCAACTTAAAATTTTACTGCTGTCATACTAAACATTCTTAGGAACTGAAATAAAATATTTATTTGAAAACAAAAGCAGACAGTGATTCCCATGAATTAAAGAGTGACATAGCAGGGGAATGTCCTGCTATGCTGTGGATAACACTAAAAATAAGAAAAGAGTTTTCATAGTAAGACACAAATATATAGCATTTTCAAATTGTCATGTGGACATTTATGGAAGTTATATACCTTGCTCAAGGATGCCAGGTCCTTTTACTAACATATATAGACTAATGACCAATCTCATAGATATCCCTCTCGATCTACATAACCTTCAATCCTTAGTCACTGTATTTTTCCATAACAACTTATCAGGTGATTTCTCCTTGTCTATGCTCACAAATCTAACCGCACAAATGCTGACCTTACCAATAACATTAAGCTACTACCATCAAATGCACACCTTTCCAACTACACAAGCTCTATCTGTCTTGATGAGATATGAGCAAGTTCGACCTGAACAATTAAAGCTTTTCTCCTCTCAGAAAAAAGAAATATTGAATTTATTGATTTCTACAAGACCAGCATTGCCAGGTGCACTCCCCCTTGGTTACTTCAATCCACTCAGGTGGAACTGCATTTAAGCAAAAACTATTTTTCAGGGCCTCTTGTTTTACCCTATACCCCTTCTCACCTTGAGTGTTTGGACATATCTCTTAAGAATCGACTAGTGGGGAAATTACCAATAAACTTCTCACTTAATTTCCAGATTTCGTGTCATTGACAATCTCTCAAGATTCCTTTAATGGTGACATTGCTATCATTAAGCTATATAAATTGATCACGTTAGATTTGTACTCAATCTATAACTTTGAAATCTTGAACTTATCAAACAAAATTGTTGGAAGGCTACCCCAAAATCTAACTAGCAGTGATTTACTACCGTATTTGAGCTTCTAAAATAACTACTTGGGAGGGAACCTTGGCCTCTGAATACATCAACCTATCCAGCTAGGAATCACTACATGTCAATGTCATGCTAAATATCTCCAACAACCATCTAACTGGGCCAATCCCAGCTCCTTTGGAGACTTATCAAATCTCGTAGCTTTAGATCGTTCTCACAATGCGCTTTGTGGTCAAAATACCTCCTCAACTAGGAAAACTCAACCCTTTGTCCATCTTCTCCGTGGAAAATAAAATATATAAGATTGGATAGCAAAAGGGACCGAATTTTACACCTTTAATAAGAGTCCTTCTAATTGAAACCATGAACGACATTTACTCCAAGGAGTGGGATGCTCCACAACAAAATCACAAAATGCTCCTAGAATTACAAATAATAATGAGGGAGAAGATGGAGACAAAGGAGAGGAAGGATGTCTAGCCAAACTCCCATATTTTATGCTTCGGTTTCGATGCTATTGCTTTGTGGGGAGCAGTTATTCTCTATCAACAAGAGATGGGGATTCACTTTTGTGAGGGTAGAAGATGGGAAAGTGGTTAACTTTCTTTCATGTAACAAGCAATAACTTGTATAATTTATCCACTACTTTGTCAAGAAAGTTGTCTTATGTAAGGCTATAACCACTGCCTCGTTATATCTTTCCATACATGTCAATAACAAATCCATATTTTCTAATCCTAGGATATGAACGGATGTGCCAAATTTCCTCCCAAGGTCATGAATACTCCTTAAGGATCCCACACAAATTTCTGGTTATTTGCTTCCCTTTCTATACCATTCTATTCTCTAACACAACCTCCTTCACAAAAGATAATGCTGCAAAAATCTTGTCTTTAAAAGCAAGGAATTGCAAAAATCTTGTCTTAAAAATTTTTTTCCAAAAATCATGTGGGTATGTCAAGCTTTTTGTGTATTTGTCAATATTCTTTCTTCCATAACTTTTGAATATTTGTTCAAAGGAGAATAAATTTAGGGAAAACGACGTATACCCCCCATTTAAAATGATAGGGTCATATACACCCTTAGATCTACGGGAAACCCGTGGATCCTTCTCCCCCCAAATAAAATTTAGAAACAGGGTCAAAGAACACCCTGAGCCCCTTTTAACAATTTTTTACCCAAAACTGCCATTTATTTTTTACTTATCCCTCCCCCGTCCAAATCACTTTCTTCTTTCTCAATCCATCATTCTCTCACTCTCCTCCTATAGACCTTACTGCTCTCTCTCTTTCTAACCCCGCCAAGACTTCCCTTTCCTCTCTTGAACCTTCCCTCATTTCTCTCTCTTCTCTGTGAACCATTCCTCTATCTCCCCCTCTCTCTCTCTCTCCCCCAAAGAGCACCATATCTTTGCTCAAGCAGCCATCTCCCAAGCCTAAGGTGCAGCAGGGCAGCCATCTCTCACTGTCCGCCCAGGGCAGCCATTGCTCTCTATCTGCCCAAGTGTATCAGCTACTTCACTCTCTATCTCTCTCTCTCTTCTCCTCCCCAAATTTCAAGTACGCCCCATTAGAGAGATAAGACAACCAATGTGGTCTTTTTATGTTTCCCTTCTCTTTCTTTTCATTAAAAAATTAGGGGTGTTGGGTTTAGGTTTCCTTTTCTCCAATACCATTTTCCCAGGTTGTTTGCTCATAAACAGACAGAGAGGGAGAGAGAAGAATGGTTCATGGGGGGGGGAGAGAGGAGGAAAGGTTCACAAGAGAGAGATGGAGGTCGAGGAAGGCTCATGGCATTAGAGAGAGAAAGAGGGGACGATGCATGGCAGAGAGGGAGAGAATGATTAAAAAGGAAGAAATTGATTTGGACAGTGAGGGATAAGTGAAAAATAAAGGGCAGTTTTGGATAAGAAAATGTCAAACAAGGGCTTCAAGTGTCTTCGACCATTTTTCTAAACTTTGGGGTGGTTCCATGGTGGTGTAGATTGCCCCATAATTTTAATTGACAGGGTAGACGTCCTTTTCCCATAAATGTTTTTACTCAAGTTCATGAGAATGGCAGTTGATTCAAAGGAAAAATAGCTAGGAATGTATTGGGTCCAGATTTACGGTTATGACATTGGAAATAATTACATATCTGGTAATATCCCAAGAGAACGAAATAAACCTTCTACATTTGAAGTTTCCAATCTTGGGCAGCAGCTATACTTAAAGTTATGATCCACTTTATCTGTATCATCTACAGAATTTGCTCAAGTTCCATCCTTCTGAAACTACTTTCATGTTCCAAATGATGATTACATAGTTATATGACAGTCCTATACACACACAGACATCTATGCACATGCTCTGTGCACACCCACTTTAAAGAAGGATTTGTTGTCCTAGTTTTTCTGAATCACGAAGGATATAGAAACATGCATCCCATGTAATGATGTTTGCTATCCAATTACAAATCTGTACAGTAAATAACCCTTGAGATCAAGGTTTCAAAAATCGCTAGGCGGCCGGTTTGGCGCCCAGCGGCCAGGCGGGCGCCCAAAACCTTAGGCGCCCTGTTGTACAAGTTAAATAGATATGTAGTACCTATACATATATTTGTGTCAATTTTAAAATTTATTACATTTGAAACTATTGTAACATATTTTTTTATGTACAAAAATTTGACATATCACATGTTGAGAATAAATTTGTTCAAAATTTCAAAATTCAAACCATACAAAATTTAAAAGTCTGATAGGATATGTATTAGTAATAGTCTCCAACTCTCCATATTTATAATAAGTGAAAAGGTTTAGGAAGGTTTTTCAAACCACAAAAAATACATTTGATTCTCAAAAACAGGTACAGCTAAGAGATTGAGGGTTTATGAAATTTTTCTTTTAACTTTGGAGGTTAAAAACCCATAACCTATATTTAAACCTCAAAATTACCCATTTTCCTTTTTGGGTATTTAAAAAAAAAAGCCATGTCCCTGGGCGCCCGCATGGACACCCTCCTGGGCACCCACCTAGGCGCGCGCCTTGCCCGCCTAGGCGCCCGCCCAGGTACATCTGCCCGTGTAGGGCTGCCTAGGTCTGGGCGTGCAGTATGTTGGTCCAGGCCGCCTAGGCGAGCACCTGGGCGCCGGGTGGACCGTTTTTTAAAACATTGCTTGAGATTCACAAAAGTCACCACGCCTCCAATTTCAGAAGAGGGTCAACTGCCCTTGAGCCTGAAATCAGTTCCTTCTCAAGGCCTAGAAAATAATGGTGTCTCATATTTTGTGTTAAACAACTGAATCCTCTTCAGATTACCTTCAAAATAATTGGGATTCTTTTTCTCCAAACCCTTAATACCCCAAGAATGATCAGGGCACATAAAACCCAAATTGATGCAGCTTCTAGGAGGATGAAGGATAGAAAGCCCAGAATATCATTCTACATCCAACTCACTCAAAACCATTGACAATAGTAGTTATATTGGGGTGAATAGCAATAGATGGCCAAATAGGGAAACTCGATCCTTAAGAAAACTTGCCACACCAAATGCCATTCTCAAAATTGATCATGTTACCATCATCGAGTAAGAATTTGATTCCTCACATGAACTCTCAATAAGCACCATTAATGTTCCTTCAACCCCCAAAATCTTATGTATTTCATCTAGCATCCCCATTACTAGAAACCATGGGAGATGAATACAAGTGATGCAGGTCATACCAATTAACTTGCACCACCTATACCATGACATGATATTAAGTACACCGTAGAAGGCAAGCCTAATGGCCCAAGGCCACCCGTATGGACAACACTGAACAAATTCACTTGAAATTTGAAACTATTGTGCATATCAATCAATTCACAGCCTAAACCAAACCAGAAACTTTTAAAGAGCTGGCGTAATAGCCATATCAAAAAGCTAGTAAGCAACACATCAGGGAACCATGATTCTACCTTCTGGTAATGTGCAATAGATGTCTAAATGAGTTAAAACTCACCTGGTATGAAATTCGTGATGCATCCTAGGAGTATCTCAACAGGTATATTGTTGCTAAGCTCCACCACAGGTTGGCTGCACTCCCACACATTAATGTTTTTTGGATACTTTTGAGCTCGATGTGGATTCACATGAGTAAGTTGGCACTCACCTAAGTTACTCAATATGGTCAATGGCCGAATTCTGTTGTCGAGCAGCATAAAAAAAGCAGAAACCCCCATGAGTGGAATTCAAGGTCGAATTGGGCCACTTACCTTATTGCCAGAAAAATCCAACCCAGTCATTTATACAAGAGCATCCCCACTAAAACTGTACATATGGCCTTTGTCAAAATTGACCTCTTCTTTTTCTTCTTCAAATAAACGATATGTATTTTCAAGAGAATTGACTCTAATGAATGATTTAAGTTCATTTAGTTGTGTAGGAATGTCACCTGACATGTCATTATTTGCAATGTCGAGAGTCATTAGGGATAGACTACACAACAAGAGATTTTTAGGAATGGTTCCATTCAATGTGTTGCCATCAAGATGCAACGATTCTAAGCTATAAATGTTAAAATATTCAGATATCAACGGCCCCTCCAAGATGTTTTCAGACAACCCGAACATTTTAACTGATATCCGCTAGTTAGATTATACGGTATTCTTCTTGTGATTTGTTGTTTGATAAGTTCAAGATTTCAAAATGTAGGTTGAGGAAGGCAAAATTTCCTGCTATATCATTTGAAGACAAATCTAGCATCACCAATTGCTTAAGGTTGTTGATATAATTAGCAATGTTCCCGTGAATGGTATTATGAGAGATCATGAATACTTTGAGACTTGGAAAATAAGTGGAGAAGTTTTTTGGAAGTTCGCAACTAATTTGATTGTTAGAGATGTCCAAATATTCAAGGCTTAAGGTATTGTTGGGTAAAACAAGTGGCCCCAGGAGAAAATTCCCACTCAGAACTAGTGCTAGTTGTGTAGATTGAAGTAAACAAGCGGGAATATGCCCACCAATGTTGTTGTTGGAGAAATCAACATCTAATTTTTTTTTGGTCTGGAGAGGAAGCTTGGAATGCTCATGTCAAACTTGCTCATATCATATGAAGACAAAGTCAAGCTGGAAAGGTGTATCATTCGACGGCAGGATGATCAACGTGTTATAGGAAAAGCCGACATCTATGAGTTTAGATAGGTTTGAGAGGGTGGAGAAGGAAAAATTATTTGATAAATCATTATTATTGAGAATTAAAATCTCTAAGGATTTGAGACTACGCAGCTTGTGAGAGATGGAACCACATAGGTGATTATGGTCAAGCTCAAGATATTGAAGAGCAGAGAGGTGGCCTAGTGCTGAAGGTATGCTGCCTACAAGTTGATTTACATGTAGCCATAGATGTGAAGGCAAGAGAGGTTGTCCAAACAAGAGGGTATGGCCACTTCCAATTCCATCATCATCAAATCCTTTTCCCAACTATTTGGGATCGGCTACACAAGTCCTGATCCGCCACTCTGCTCTATCAAGCTATCAACTGGTAAAATTGTAATAAAAAACTGAAATGCAAACCACTTCACAACTTGGTTGCTTGCACCATGGTGCAATAACTTCATAAATGGCACCTAGACCACAAAAATAATGAAATGCACTGTATAAACAGCCAAGGCATCCAAAACACTTCAATAAACCTCAAAAACCATGAAACTGAGCAGTCATATGGACAAACATAACCAATCAACACAAATCATCAATCAGCCTCTCCATTTACACAATTGACTTGGACACAATATCATCACATACTAAGAAAGAGCAAAACTTGGGTAGTTAAGAATATAGGTGGTCAGCATAATGATAGGCAATTCATGAGGATAATCAAACACAATATATACACTAGTTGCACACAAAGATTATGTAGTTAAAATATGAGATTGTATTCTATTAAATAATTTATATCTATTACAAGGAGGTTACAATTATCCCTATTTTCTGGGCATCAAACTAGTCATAAAAAAAATAAGGTAGAAACATTTAGAAACTAGAGAGGGGAACAGAAAGGTGGCAATATTTATGAAAAGTGCTTCAACCTCAAGCAAGAAATAACGTAAAACCAATGTAAAAATATGAATGCATAGTTTTTAAGTCAAGCATTTTTTACTATCATAAAACCTACTTTGTTTAAAGAATAATGTGTGGGCATGAGGACTAATTCTCTCACATTTGTCTATCCATGTGGAATGTATCTTGTACCTGAGATTCAAGTATGTATGCATGCATAAAAATCCTTTACTAATATAATCTAAACTTGAACTTTTTCATGCTTTTGCTATTCTAATATTCCTTTACTCTTTTACCTTTAAAATCAATGGCTCTTAGAGGATAAAACCATAAAGCTACCCCCAATCTTTTCAAAAACATAGCCTACTTCGTAGCCTAGGAGTGGCCATTGGGCTTGGATTTCAGGCATTGGCCTAACCTGCCGGCTAGTATCCATTTCCAGTTGTAGTCAGCCCAGCCTTAGGACCAACACCTGTTGCTCGAGTCATGGTACAAATACTGCCTAGGATCATATTGCATTTTGTTCAAATGATATCTGGCCTAACTTTAATTTTTATGTTTAAAATTTTCAAAATGGCGAAATTTTCATAAGTTGCTTTTTCTGATGATTAAAAAAAATGTCAGACTTTGCGATTTACATTAAGGAAAATTGTTTCATGCGGGCTGGACCGCATTTCTACATATGCAGTCCAGAAAGTGTAAAGCATCCATCTTAAAGATGGATGCAAGTAGGTGTTCCATCAAAAAACAAATCCAAATGTTTTCTTACTAGAATTATTATTTCTAGTTTTTAAATGTATTTATCTTTTTATATTCATGATTTCCATGTTAGAGATTACATTGCCTGAAAAATTAAGTCTTAAAATCCATTTCAAAAATAGATTTATTAAGAGGCCCGCATATCTACATATGCGGGCTTGGCCGCATAGAAACCGGGTCCTTACATTAATGTCCCTTTTTATTTTTTATTTTCCAAAATATCCCATTTTGGATCTCCAAGTTCGAAGGCAGGGGTTTTTCTTTTTTTGACCTAGTTTTTTATTTGGAACTACAACTTTTGAACCATATTATTGAAAAAAAAAAAAAACAGTTCAAACCTTCAAGTTCTGAACCGGTCTTTACTTATAAAACAACAATTCAGTCAGTTTGTGAAGAAACAGTTCAGAACTTCAAGCTCCAAACATTTTATTTTTTTTAAATGAATTCGAACCGAAAACTAGGCCAAAAGAAAAGACAAAAGAACTCGGTTCTGAACTTGTAGTTCCAAACTAGGGGTATTTTAAAAATAATAAGAAACATGAAAAATTATATCAGCCTTAAATATAAAATATAGTATAAATTTTTAAATCCACACAAAAAGAAAAGATATTTATAAAATTTCCCAAAATAAAATAACACTCCTTACCCATTCCAGGCCACTGGGAGTGGATTTCAAGCCCCACTACTGCATGTAGGATTATACTGCTTGTTGCATGTATCTAAGATCGCTCATGCATAAACATCATTTTTTAATTTGATCAACACACAATATAATTCAGACAATAGAAATTCTTTTGCATCTAACTTCAATGTTTTGTCTATATGCCTCTTTTAGTTGTCGAGCAAAAGTTTGCTCAGCTTCTAACTTACCATCACATGAACACACACACACACACACACACACACACACATAAACATTGTCTACAAACAGATAAGAACACATTAGTTTAATGTCTCACAGGAATTTTCACAATTACATACAGATATAATTAGACTAGAAAAATATCACTTTCTCATACCACACATTAATTTGGCAATTTCAATAAAAACCATTACACAAAAAAACATCACTTGCCTTTTAATCAGGAGAAAGGCTATGGTCAAATCCTTACTTTTTGTTGGCAGGTAATTCATAATCCGAACCCAAGACCATAGTTTTGTGGCCATTATGATGACCAAATCTCTCTCATACTGTTGCAAGACTGTACCCTGGGGTCTTGGCAACCATCCTCTCTCTCATCATCTTCCTAATATTTGCCACCTCCCTCCACATATTGGCGCCTGCATAAATATTAGACAAAACCACATAAACCCCATCATTCTCAGGCTCAAGCTCCATGAGATGCATGGAAGCCCATTCACCCATCTCCACATCCCCATGCACATGACAAGCACCTAAGAATGAACCCCATATGATAGCATTAGGAACCATGGTCATGGGCATGCTCTCTATGAGTGACCTGGCCTCTTTGAGCCGACCAGCTCGACCGAGCAGGTCGACCATGCACCCATAGTGTTGTACCATGGGCTCGAGCCCATACTCGCTGGCCATTGAACCAAAGAAACACAAACCCTCATCCACCAACCCGGCATGCACACATGCACTAAGGACCCCAACAAATGTCACATGATTGGGTCTAACTCCGGCTCTTTGCATGCTTCCAAAATGGCTCAATGCATCTAAGCCATGGCCATGCACGGCCATACCCATGATCATGGCAGTCCATGACGACACATTCCTCTCATGCATTTCATCAAACACCCGACCAGCTTTGTTAATCATACCACATTTACAATACATATCTATTAACGAGTTATACACCAGAAGCCTTGAAAAAGCTTTCACACTCAACCCATGGACCTGAAACCCTAATGGTAAATTGCCCAAAGCCCCACAAGCTATGATCACAGTAATCATGGTTATTTCATCGGGTTCAACAACTTTTTGAGCCTTAAAAAACAGGTTCAAAACCTTTTGGGGCGATCCCAACTGGCCATAAGACACCATTAAAGCATTCCAAGAACCCAACTTTCTATTAGGGTTTTCATTGAACACTTGGTGTGCACTCCCAATTGCACCAAAGGCACCATAAAAGTAAACCAAAGCGCACTGTACATGTTCATGGAGCTCAAGCCCAAGCTTGAAAGCTTGGCAATGGAGCTGAATTCCACAGCTTAAAGAAAGTGCTTGAGTACAAGCTTTCAGAGCAATTGGTAAGGTGTAATGGTCAGGCAAAACACAGGCCTGAGACATAAGAAACAAAGAAGTCATGGCTTTTCTTGGAGATCCATGCCTAACATAGGCTCGAATGATCAAATTCCACATGAATGGAGATGGGTTAGATTCAAAAACACTGGCTCTCAGAAAGATTGCATGGGTCTGTTTTAGCTTGCTCAAGGTGGTGCAACACTGTAAGATGACGCATCTTTGTTCTGCAAAACTAGGACTATTAGAGTGAGGGTTCGGATGATTAATCATGGAGCAAAATGCATGTAATGGTACGTTTTTTGGTGGAAAATGAAGGCTAGGGTTAGTGGGGGTGCAACGTAAGATAAAACCCAGCATTTCTTGGGGGAGAAAATTAGGGTATTTGGTTGCAAAAGTTCGATGAATCAGCACTCTGAACATTGTGCAAGTATCATTCATAAACTTCAGTAAACAATCCCGTGAGGCTAAGATTTTGTTGCAAATAGACTGCAGAGGTGCCAATCGCATTGGATAAAGAGTTAAACACTGAGTCATTGAGCTTTCTGTTATAGTAGATCATTCCTCCTCCTTCTCTGTATCTAAACGGAAACCATTTCAGAGGTAAATTTGAAGCTCTATGTAAATAAAATAGAAATATACCACTACAAAGAATGTTATTGAACTTCAACAGACAATGCAATAATGGTGTATATTTGTATAATTTAGTGAACATACAGATCAGCAATGTAGCATGAACAATATCCAGCAGCTCGCTCGAACGTAAAATTTGAATCGCCAGAGACTCTAATTCTGGTTCTATAAGCATCCGGATATGTAACTGGGAATAGAAAATGTATACAACTTTTGTTAGTTGCAGGAAATGCGCGAAGCATTGGATAAATTTACTGATCAATATGAACAGAGAATGGTTGTTGCATCATCAAATTCCTATCCAAAGTCCCCCTTGTAAGGACCCGGTTTCTATGCCGCCAAGCCCGCATATGTAGAAATGCGGGCCTCTTAATAAATCTATTTTTGAGTTGGATGGATTTTAAGACTTAATTTTTAAGGATACTCAATCTCTAACATGGAGCGCATGAATATGAAAAATAATTAATAATAAAAGTTAGAAATAATAATACTAGTAAAGAAACATTCTGAATGGTTAGTTTTCATTGTTTTTAGATAAGACACCTAATTGCATCATCTTTAAAATAGATGTTTTACACTTTTTTTACCACATGTATAGAAATGTGGTCCAACACGCACAAAACATTTCTCCAAGAGTCAATAGATGGGGATAATTGCTCTTCATCAAAGTAAAAATTACCACTAATTCCTCTTCTAAAGAAGAAAGAAGGTTCTTGCTTTAGTTGGATTCACAAGTAGAAGCTCAAATCGAACTGATCCTTATATATTATAGGGGTGGCAATCGGGTCTTTTTGGACCTGTTATGTGGGACCCACATCCAAAACCCTATACTTGAGTCAGATTTGGGTCGCCCCACCCAATGACATGAAAATATCTAATACATAAGAGTGATACATGAGAGGTAAAATATGTATAATGGGTTTATCCAATGGTTTAAAATACGGATCGGGTTCTCCAAAAATCCATTCGGATCGATGAATCAGCGATCTAGATCGAAAATCGGCCGAATCGGTCAGATTTAGCTTTAAAAAATCTGAAAAAAATATTAAAATTCATTATAAATATTGTTTTGTAGGAATCCAATAAGAAATGGGGGTACTCCATTAAAAATTTTCATTTTTTTGTATGAATATGTGAATATTGAGATGTTCTTTCCCTGTATTGACTACTATTTACCAATAAATTTACATCACACAAAAGGATAAGCATAGAATTATTATGGATGATGTATATCATCATACATAGACTACAATAAAACATGCAATTCGTAAAATACTACCTAATAATAAAATGACATACGACCTAATAATAAAATGACATACGACATTGTTTTTCTTCTTGGCCATGCTGGTGTCATTAATTGAATTCGCGTGACAATTCATTGACTCGATCTAAAAACGAATCATCCAAATTAGTGGGCACTTGACTATACCCAAATCCCTTAATGTTAGTGTTTTGTTGCGCTCTTAATCCAAAATCCCCGAAGCTTGTCCATTCTTCATGATCACCTACATTGTAGTGCTCGTCCCTACCCTCTTGCTGTTGGGACTCGGTATGTGAAGAATTTGGTTGGAGTAGGGTGGCATCAGAATCATCATCTCTCTCATTTTCCCTTATACCATCTTCCCACTCTCCCTCATTAAGTGCAATACCACCGATATCTTCGACGAATTGCGGATATGTTGGTGGGTTGCTTCCCCTTTCATGCTGCTCATCACCTTCTTCAAGATCTTCCTCACCAAGAGCCTCAAGGAACGATCTCTTATGCAACACTGGCTCATCTTCCTCTACTACTCATTGTTCTGTTGTGTTTTTGACAAATATTGTATCCAAGTCTAACGACCCATACTTTTCAAGCTTCCTTTTTATTTTTCGCTCTCGGAGCTTTAAGTTGTAATGAACGTAGACTAGTTTATGAAGCCTCTCCGAAGCGAATCGATTCCTCCTAATAGTGTGCAACCATTGAAACGTACTCCAGTTTCGCTCACACCCAGTAGTAGAATATGTCTGAGATAACACCTTGATTACTATCCTCCTAAGGTGAGGTGAATCATTACCATATATCTCCCACCATTCAGCTGGATTAAAATGCTAAAAGCATTGTAAGGGCAAGAACAATTCATAAGATTAAATATATGAATGAACAAAATATTAGTTAGGGGTTAACCTAGATCCATTTTAGTTCGAGAATTCTTGGCAAGTCTAGTTCCAAAGGATCCTATAACATAAAAAGCTAAAGCAAAATATTTTGTTTTATTGTATTAGTTATTCCTCACAAATATAACAACTCAAAGAAGTTTTGACCCAAATACTAAATATTACCTATTGTATTGCCGCTACCTGGTTTCGATGACTTCTCTCTAGGCTGACAATAATGTATATGACCCCTTCCTTAATATTGTGGGGATATTCAAGTGTCAAATAGAAAATTTTGGTTGAAGTAGTAACTTAGAAAATACATAGGTAGAGAAAGGTCATTTAAAATTTCATTAAAAATAGTTTAGAATTAAACATTCTTATGATATAAATATATATGTACCCGCATAATGAATTGGATGGCCAAATTTGGTGTTCCACTTCTTGCTATAATGTCGATCACTTTACTAGCAAAACTACACTTCTTCCCAATAGTTAATTTGGCCCTCTCGATACCTTCTTATAGGATGCCCATAATAGCTTTCTTGTCAGCATTCACCATTTTTAACACCGTGACCAAAGGGGCAGTGACATCTACAACACTGGAATATCGAGACCATAACTTCCTATCTGTGACTATACCCTCTACTTTTAGCCCAGTACTGGACTTTGAGAGGCAACCATTTGACCACTCTTCACTGGTAAACAATCTCTTTAATGTAGCTTTGGATTCCCGAATGGATTCCACAACCAAGTAATTTATCGCAAAGTGGGTTATAACGGGCTTGATTATCTCTTTTTTTTAGATTGTTCTATGAACGAAAATAAGATTTTAGAGTGGTTATATATAAATCTTAACACTAACCTCGCATCATGTAGGGTCTCCTTCACAATTTTATCCTCACTGATCTCCTCTAACATAAGATCGATGATGTGTGCAGCACACGGGGTCCATACTAAATGCTTTCTCTTATCCATCAACTTGCTGCCCGCAGAAACACAAGCATACGCATTGTCTGTAATAAACCAAACTACATGCTTATCTCCCACCTCCTCCACTATATGATCATATAGTCGTACTAAGAAACATGAGACGTCTTTGCTAGACAAAAAGGTTGTACATTTTGGGGAATAAGCCAAGAAGTTAATAAACTCCTTTTTGCTAACTTTAATCAACCAACCATCACTTCATGAGAGTAATATCTGTTCTTGGTCAACCCTGTTTATATTCTTCAATCCACTTCCTAACGTTTTCCGCCTCTTCATCCAAGATTGGCATACTCAGCTCATATGTAGTTGGGGGCTTTACCCCAAGCCCGGCTTTTTGGATTTCGCTGACCATAAGTGGGAAATATGGGCTATTGGCTGTATCCAAGGGGATACCTATATCATAGAACTATTTACCAACATATATGCCTAACATGTTCATTGTACCTTTCACTATGCCTTTGAAGGTCATCTATTGTGATTTGGGTTTTGAGAGAAATGGATCTAAACGACCACGACCTGCAATGTTGATGCTCTTATATAAGCCAGGAACAATTTCTTCAACGTCCGATGCCTTTGGATACATATTGCCACCAATATCTACATACATATTAGAGATGGGCCCGCCATACATGCTCGAGCTAGGCCCGCCATACATGCTCGAGCTGGGTCCACCATGCATGCTCGAGTTGGGCCCGTTATGCATGCTTGAGCTGGGCCCGCCATGCATGCTTGAGCTAGGCCCACCATGCATGCCCATGTCATAACTACCAGGCATTTGAAACCCGCTTTCCCTCTTGTATGTTTTATGTAAACTCATTCTTGTGGTCATCGCCAAGTCATTATTATATTGCTCTTCTAGATCAATTTCGAGATTGATCTAGAAGAGCAATATAATAACGACTTATATATGATTATGAAGGACACTATTGTACATAGAAACATCTCCCTTAACCTTGCCAAGTGTTGATTGAACCGATGTACCCAACTACTTATCATCTTTTGGCAGTAATTACAAATATTTTTTTCTTTTTTGTTGGGATCAAGTTTGACCTCATGTTGCCATGCAGGGTCTTCCCTAGATCTTGCCATGGTTCAACTGTTTTAATATGTAAATGGTTAAAAATGAATCTGACAATTCAATATGAAAAATAGTCATATGTAGTGATAACGTGTAGGGGTAGTTCATGAAGTTATCTTTGTTGATAATGCAAAATACTTCTACTGGCAAAATATTTTAGTTCCTACTGACAAAAATATTTTATTTTTGCAACATTATAGATAAAAATAGTCTGTATTAGCCACTACATATAGAACAAAAAATTTACAAAGACATGGTATCAATAAATATATATTTACATGCCAGTACATATGGACTCGTCACAAATCTTCATTTTGACAAGTATGAATTAGTTCCTACTGAGAAAAAAAAATTATTTATACAACATTATAGATAAAAAGAGTCTGTATAAGTCACACTTAGAATCAAGAAAAAAAAATTACAATAATATAGTTATCCATAATGCCACTACACGTAGATTTGCCACAAATAATATTTACAATGATAAAATATTTATCAAGAATATACATACATTTTATGTATCAACATAAAATTTTTTGCATTAAAAATTTAACAATAAAAATGAAAAATACAATTTAATTTCTCATGATAATCAAAACCTGGTCATGATTTTCACGATTTTTCAGATAATCACAATTTTTCAAAAAAATCAATCATCACTGTTTTTCTACAACCGTGACTTCAAACCCAAATCTGACTTGTAATCGACCAAAATAATCACAAATTTTGAATAATGTCTTCTCAATAACACTTTTAAGACTAATAACCCTCTGATTTGATAAAAAATAATACCCTATTTTGTTTGAAATCTAAGAAGTGGTGGATAACCTAAAAAAAAAAATATTCTTCACAAATCTGATGATTTGTGATCTAAATTCGAGCCTTTGAACTCGAATATAACGTCGAATAAGTTTGAAAAGTAAACCCTAAAGCCTGAAATATTCAATCAAAAGCCTGCAAAAGCAAAAAAATTATCAAAAAAATCCAAAATTTGATGATACATCTCACTTTTCACCATTCACCCGTGTCTGCTACAATGACTCAGACGATTCACTGTTCAGAATCGCTTGGTTCCCTCTAGACATGAGCGAATTTGCATATTGTGGTGGAATCGGCACTGGGGTGCCGATTCCCAGGTCGTA